TTTGGCATTCATTGCAAAAGTTTCTCAAAGTATAAGCTTGATAATAGTTTGTGGAATATATTCTTTCTTGGGATATAGTAAATGATTTCAGCCTGCTTGACTCTGGAATCCTAAATATGGCTTCTCCAGAAACACAGAAGAATCTCCATATTATATATAAGCCACTATCTTTGTGTTCTCTTTACACTCTGCTTGCTGTGTAGATATATGTTATATTCTCTCTGCATGGGACACACTTAAATATGTATATATAGTTTTGTGTATGTTTTAATGGTATAAAAGTCTCCCTGAGAACAAAGCATGTTTCAGTCATTTTGTTTTGTCCATGAAATATGGTATTATATCATGGATATAATAATGCTCATAATGGGGGAAATGTAAGTAGCATTATAAACTATTCTTCTAATAGCTCTCCTATGAAGCTTGAATAAAACAGGAAAATGAACTCATCATGCCACTTTTGTGGAAAAGTTTGGAAGTCAGCTGGTGTGCTGAAAAGATATGCAAGCAGTCACAAAAATAGACCTAACAACAAGAAAGTTGGTAATGTTTAGCCTTTGTGTTTGCAAAAAAAAAGTGTCTCAAAAGGATGGTTAATCCATTGACACTGTTATTACTGTATACACTTTTGACTCTCTCGGTAACGTTTGTTTATAAGATTATAAAAAATATGTGAACCAAGTATAATGCGATATTTATTATTTAGCTTTTATAAAGATTTATTATTTGTCATTTTATAAAGAAAAAAATAAATTAAATAATAAATTTGAAAAATCTTTTTATAAAAAGTTTTATAAAAACTTTTCATAAAAAATGATCAAAAGATATAAGATGAAGAGATGTTCTCAACCTATTATATATTATATTTTATAATAGTAATAGCAAATGAAAAAAATGTCTGGAAAATGCATTTTTTCAAAGTTTATAATTACAGTTGCTATTCATTATGTGTTTATTTAAATTTTCTTGTTCACAAATATTTTTATAAATTTCTCTTTGGAAAACCCAAGACTCACTGTTTCCTGTTCATAGAATATGTCCTCGCCTGGAATATAGATGAATCCAGTCCATTTGAATCTGGAGTTCTAAACATGGCTTCTCCAGACACAGGAGTATCTCAATATTATATGTAAGAACCTTTATTTTTGTTTCTCCTTACACTCTGCTTTGCAGTGTAGATATATGTGATATATTATTCTCCACATGGGACATTTGTATATATGTATATATAGTTTTGTGTATGTCTTAATACATAAAAGTCTCTCTGAGAACCAAATATATTTGTCATTCCTTTTCTTTTCAGTCATTCTGTTCTGTCCGTGAAGTATAGTATTATTATATTTTAGTAACCCTCATTTCAATTTCAAACATTTTCTTGAATTTCATTGGTTGTTAAATAAAAAATAAGCTTCGAGAATTTTCCGTAACAAAACAGTCAAAATTTGTGCAAAAATAGGCTCAAATGACATAAAAAAATCTTTCTCAAATTCATCCCTAATTTAAATATTTCAAGAAATCCTATTGGTTAAAAAATAAAAAATACAACATTCACCCACACATTTCTCAGAAAAATTTGCAACAGCTACCAAGCCTTGTTGAACCGATTTAGTTGTTAAAAGTACTATAAATAGAAATAGTAAACGAATTTTCATTGCATTTGAGACTCACACATGTGAAAGATACACAAAGGAATTATGTGCCGCCACAGAAGCAAACTTCCTTTATGAGAGATTAGAAAAATTTACACAACAAACTTTTTCACTCAATATCTTTTATAGAAAATCTTTTGTCTAAGTTAAATTCAACCTTTTCAACCAAAGGCAGACAACTTTTTAGATATTGAACATTTCCGAAACAACAAAGAACTTTTTCTCTAAAATATACCTTTGCACATATCATTACAAACAAAGAAATTGTAAATTGTTTATATAAAAATTAATCTGTGGTTTCAAACATATATTTTTTGTGGTGATTGAATATCGTTACCATTTGGCCATTTCTTATAATTTATGTTTGTGGATATTGCATATTTTATTTACAACACAATCCTAAATATTTATGCAACCTTCTTAGATCCACTACAATATCATGGATATAATAATGCCCATAATGGGGAAAATACAAATGGGAGAATAAATCTTTCTACAATACCATCTCTCCTGTTATAAATTCAGCCTTCATCAATTGATAATTCCAACATTAGACATAACAACACACTTCTACAGACAAGATTAATAATGAAACCTTTACACAAATGGTAGAGATACCCAATCCATTTTGAATTGAGTGTTTTCTTTGTCTTCGACTGGTTACAAACCAAAGCTGAAGAACCCAGTCTGCTGTACTGTTTAACCCATCGCCAGGAAAGAAGAGATGAATTCATACATTTACAAGGGTATTTACATGAGAATGAATTCAATGAACTTGACTAGAATTCAAACTTGGTTTTCCAATTTAGTAGTTATCTACACCAATAATTAAATGTGTAAAGTTGCTTATGGGAATATTTTATAGCACTAGGAATAATGGTTTTTTAATATAAAAAAAGAACTGACCAATTGATTTGCAATACAAAGATAACATTTATCAAAACAAAAATTAACAAAAGTAAAGTTTAAAACAAGAGTTTCTTTTGTTAGAAGTAAATTGTATACACAATGAAATGTTCTTAACTTAAATGTTACAGTGTGACTTAAATAGGGGTGTTTTAGCATGGAGCATTTCACAGATCTTTTAGCTTCAGTGTGGAAAGTTCATGTCAGCAGTTCAAAAAGGAAACCCAAAAGAAAAGAGAATTACTTTAGGGTTCATGTGTTTTTTATATTTGAGCTGCTTCTGATACGGGGTTTATTTACTTACAGCTGTTACTGCTACTAAAAGGCACTACACCAACTTCTTGTTCCAAGCCACTAACCATTACAACAATTGCACATCCAATTTACTGTATACTTAGACAGCAAGAATTAATTTAAACAAGTTGTGTTAAAATCAACCAAAACGTCTATCTAATTTTGTTTTGGATGTGCATTGTAAAGTGGTTAGTTTTTGGGGTTCATGTGGGAAATTTAATGACTCCCCAAATGAGTTGCGGCTTGATGAACAGAGTTGAGACAATAGAACAGTTTAATAAACAAACTTTATATAAGAGATACATTACATAATGAGAAGAGAATAGAGGATTGCTAAAAACATATTCTTTTAGAAAATAAAGTCATGACATCAGGGACAATATCCAAATACATGTGTTTGCATGAAAGTGATTGAACACTTATCTGTATGCTATTCATTCTTCTTCTAATAACTCCATTATCGTTTCAGCATTTAGGTTAGCTTGTGGCTTGCATCACCTGTTTTTGGAGTGGGCTGAAGACATGGTCATCTCAAGTTGACGCTCAAATCCTATTTCACATCTAATTTTGGGTCATACTCATTATCATCAGATTATGATAGACTTATAGTGATCATCATCATTCCACACACATACACCTACACAAATTCAAATTTACGATAGCAATCATTCATTGGACAGGAATCAACGTCTTATGCAACAATTTTGAAATCGCTATATTTTCGTATAGTAGATTTTGTGCACATTTGGAAGAATTGGCTCCCAGAAATCTCCCCAAAGCTCATTCACTGATTGTTCAGTGTCTACCAATCAGATTCCCCACATGTGGAGAATGATTCTTCCTGCGCAATACTCCTGTTCCAATGATCACCTATAAAAGCAAGAGAAAAGAGGAGATGCCCCAGTGAGACTTTAGCTGCCACAGAAATCCACGACAGTTGAAGCTATGCGCCAATCTTCTCACTCAAAACTCACAAACTGCATATTCCTTTACACTTACATATTTTTCCTCTTGCACGGCAGAACTGTTAAAAAAATTTATAACAAACAATTAACTCTTTTCCTTTTCAGAGAACTTTGATAGTCAAAGAGAGACAACTCATTGTATGATTTTTCTTACACATTCTTTATTGTATGCATTATTGAATACAATTTTTATATATAATGATACCTTTGCCTTGTCCTTTTCTTCACATCAGTTTGGTTTCCTAATCAAAATTAAATAAATGTGGTGGAGATCCGCCACAGACTCATCTTACTATCAGCGGATGTTATCTACCAAATGGAAATAACACACACACACACACACACACACACACACACATATATATATAATAGACTCTCCCGTTGGTTTTGATGTATGAGGATCTGACAACTTAATTGATTCAGTTATGAAATTTTGTGTGATAATCTTAAGTGGCACTTAAGACCCACTAGTGATTTACAAAGGAGTAAACTGCCAGAAAATCCACACAATTGATTTGATTAAAGTGGTGAAGGCTTGTGCAGAACCATCCACAATTTTCGGAACTATTGATACACTCAGTCAGTGCAAATAAATGCCACAGACGAAGCAGACTATAGACCTCATAATATATATTCATTGGGTAAAAGTTAAATGAAAAAAAACATTTCAAATTTTAAACAAATATTTTAAAAAATAAAGCAAAAATTTGTGAAAAAAAATTCATTGATAATAGCCAACCTGAGTAAAATTTGAAATAAAAAATAATAATAGCAAATTTTCTATTTGCAATGATCACTTCTCTGAGCAAAATTAATAGAAAAAATGCTTTCTTGTTAATCTCTGAAAACCTCAACATTTCAGTAAATCATTTGCATTGTTTTCTGTTACCTTGATAAAACAGTATTTTTTAACAGATTTTATGAAAAAAAATTGTGTAAGGTAAATTTTAATTCACTAAATGATATAATTATTGCCTTTAAAAAATTCTTTTTGATTTTCAAGATATAAGATAAGGCAAAAAAAACAATGGTCAAGGGCAGATAATTTTGTCAACGAACTACCGGAAATTTGATGGCACGCATGCGTATTCGATGTTAAGTGTTACCGATAAGCCACGTATGGCCGAGTGACATATTCACTTCTGTTGAGTTAGTTTACCTTTGCGTCCCATTCTTCATTGGAATTATGGTAAGTTTTTTTTTCTTCTGGTTTTGATTCCGAAACTTTTGTACGTCTGATCTGTATGACAATTAGACAAATCAATATGTATTATATACGTTTAGTAAAACCTAGATTTTAGAAAGAATTACACCCCAAAAATCGAAGATTTATTTACAATTCAATTGAATAAGTCGTAGATTTCTTTCGGTTTATTTTTCATTCCTGAAAAACAAAATGTTCTAAAAAGTGCTTTATGGTTAATTTTCGGTTTTAATTGATTTATTAGACTTCTTTATTAAAGTAATTTAGTTTGGAGAAATCATAATAACGAAAAATTACTTTTTTTTAAGAATAAAAATTTATTGTTCTTCCTGTTTTCTCTTCAGTACGTTTTACGATAAAATTGATCACGCCACTCTTTGAGTCTTATACAATAGTAATACGAATTACGAATAAATAACATTTTAATTTAGAGATTCGATAATGTCACCATCTTTTCTTTAATCTTATTTGTAACTGTTTGGGTTTGAAAGATTTTTTTTTTTTTTTTTTGGTTCAAAAGGTTTGTTGGTCAGTCGACGATTTTTTTAAACAAGTTATTTTAAAAACATATTGATAAGAAATATAACAATCTGAAATTAATCAGGATATTGTCTTTACCGTTTTTTTACACTGACTTCAATACAAGTGCGTTTTTACAATATGAACCATGGTAAAAAATCAAATAAAATTCTGTCAGTAAAAAAACGTGGAGTTTTTTTTTTTTTTTGTAGCATTTTATAAATTTTATTGATTTATGAAACAAACTAAAAATACTTGAATTTTATTTTTTTTAGCAAAGTTGTCATAATAAATTAAAAATTACCTTTCTAACTTGGTTAAAAAAAAAATTGACACATCATCAGAAATAAAAATTTGCATCATCAATATGACACCAGCCGAAAAGCGTTAAAAAAAACAACCTTAGCGAGTTTAGTCTCTAGTTGATCATTGCTACTGAGTTCAATTCTTACTAGCGGCTACCCTATAATTTTTTTTTCTGGTGCCACAGTTAAATAATAACTTAACACCAGCTGGCGAACTCATAAAAATAAATTAAATTTAAATATCTCAAAAAAAAAAAAAAAAAAAAAAATGGGTGGTGGGAACGATAAAGGAACCTTGAAACTAATTATTACATCACAATCGAGTCCCGTAACGGTTACGGCGTAACCACATGTACTGCAGCTATAGAAACAGTGGTGTATCTAAAAAGGCCTAACTGACAGCAAGGGCTAGTTCTGAATTCAGAGTTTAAGACTGCCACCTTCAAGGCAAGAGAACCCAGTCAGCTCTGCTATAGCTGAATGAGGTGGCGAAGGAATGGATTCATTTACTTATTCGAATATGAATCTTGGCCAAAGTTCGAACTCTGATCGCCAATTTTCTTTCTTGCACTACCTGTACATTCAATATTTTCCCCAAATATTTATTTTGATTTTGAATAATCGGAAGTGTGATAAAAAATTCAGCGGTAAATAAGACAATAACTGTTTCCCAATATTAGAAATACGGCCAGAAAACGATATCCTATAAAAAATAAAAAATAAAAAAAAATTTACTTTTTAGTCCGGTGAAGTCCTTAAGTCCTGCATAACGCCTTTGATCTCGAGATCTAGAGGCCGAAAGATATTTACACAGATTTTTTTTTTCCATTTTGTCATTCATTTGTCTATCCCCTCCCCCAAAAGAGAAATATGTCAGTTGGTATCATGAAATGACTTCTTTAAAAAAATTGTACTTTTTTGTCTAATATGAAAAAATAAATAATGTGATTTCATGTCGATCATGCAACTAAGTCTAAGATCTTCCCTTCCAATGTTTTTATAACAAGAGGCATGAAAATCAAAAAGTAAATATTACATTACTTTACTAAATTAGAAAGACAGGGCTGTAGACGCTTTTCCTTTTTTTTTTTTTTTTTTTTTTTTTTTAACCCCTTTTGTTTTATGTTAGTTTTCTTTATATATTTTTGCTTTTAATTATTTAAAAAACATAATCCATTCTTACATATCGACTACATCGATTACATTCTAGATTATTCATGCAGAAAATAAAAGCAGTTGTCATGTTTCAGTACCTTTTTTCCTTCAGACGATAAATTAGCAAAATATAAGTCCTGATTTCTTGACTGTGTAGCAGTTTTTTACTCAGCTACACCAGTATTTTTGTTTTGCATTAATCTCTTTGACCTATGTTCTTTCATGGCTCTCCACATCTTCCTGTTTTTGTTCTTTTGCTTTCAGCAATACTTTTCATAACACCTCTTTCTTGTAGTACTTGTTAATATATTGATGATAAACTACATTTGGCAACAAGGATTTGATGATTGTGAAACCATCTCTTAATTGCTAGTGTTCCCAGGTCCACCCTGACCCAGATTGGTAGAACCTGTTAGGGTCCCAGCTATGGGCAAATAATGAACCCCCAAACAAAAACAGAACACTACTATGAAGTATACAAATACATTTTTATAGTAAAACCACCAGCAATGCATTTGTATCTAAAAAAAAAAAAAAATAATAATAATAATAAACAACAATACATTTTACCTGTAGTTGAAGGCATGCAATTGCATTGAAAATATGTAGTCAAAGACATTAAATAACCCATGCAGGTGTTGATATGCCACTAAACAAAATCAACCCATTTTCTCCACCCATTTGCTTAAACTTGTCAAGCAGGTTACTTACAACATTCCTCATCTTCTCTGGCCTTTTATGTATCCTGTGAATGTTAAAATCTTTAACCCCCGCTTCTTTTTATGTCCCATGTCCTGAAGGGACGTGCAATTATAGTTTCCTGTCCATTGTAACTCCAAGCAACATTTGTACTCTTACCATTCCTCCTCCTTCATGCACTGCCACACAAACTCATTAGGTAGGTTACTCACTGTTTCCCTATGCCCTTCTTGCTTTCAATATGTCTTGTGAGTATTAAATTCTCCAAGCCCCCTTCCTCATTATTCTGATTGTTAGCAATTCTTTCTTTGTAGTTAAAAAGCTTCTTGAAAACTTCTCAACTGCTTTCTACATTGTATTCTTAACAGTCTGCCATAGAGCCAAATTTTAGTTTCTTTGCGTTCCTTTTCCTTTGGCAACAATTGTCCAACTATTACTACTAGATATCACTCAGCAGTCCAATATTCTTTTCTTTGGTTCTGGTTTCACTTTTCAGTCCCTTACTCCATTTTGGAAATGTTTTTCACTATTCCTATATACTTTGAATTTCTGTATCACACTTTCTGTCATCCATTACTATACTGCTCAGGAAGTTAAATTTCTACACTTGTTTAACTTTGATATTCCTAACACGTAAGTTTTATCTTGGGCTGCACATTTTTCTCGGCATCATGCATTCTGTTTTCTTTTCCGGGTTTAGCTTAGTACTGCATAAAGCTAAATATAGGAAAAATCATGATTGGAAGATTGTGCCATGCTTCTGAACCTGCTGGTTTCCCGACAGGGGAGAAGTTGCTAGATCAAAATTCTTTTGGTACCATCATGTTTAATAACCCCAGTACTGAATGAGAAATTGGAGAGCTTAGTTCGAATTCCAATCTTATTCATTACATTCACTCATATGCAAATACCCATGGGAAATGTATGAATCCATCTCTTCTCTCCCTCCTCAAGCTATGGACTGAATAGCAGGGCAGACTGGATCCTATAGCCTTGGTTGGCAACTAGTCTATCACAGAAAGAAATGACAACTTACTGTCAGAAAACTTTCTGCCTGGTTGTCATAAATCGAAAGAGACATGATCACTCAAACAGGTACATCATTTTTTTTAATACTAAATTTGCCTCCTATGTAGCATGTTGTAATCCTAAGAAAAATAGTGATATTTCAATTTTAATTGAAAATGTTTAAATTTAATTCTGTATTGATGAGGGTATTGCACAGTTTGTGCAATGGTCAAATGGATAATTGTTTTTTTTTTTTTGATCACCCTGAAATTTTTTCAGTTCAATTATAGAACTGTATTAATGTTATTTAGATGTAAGAGGAAGGTTTTTTGTTTGTTTGTTTTTTTTTTTGTTTTTTTTTAAGAAAAAAAAAAAAGACTTTCACATTTCTGATTACAAAATAGGTGTTTACTTCTCCAGAGCTTAAATTTTGCATTTAACCCCATTTAGCCTTCTTTTTTTTCTTTTTTTTTTTATTGTGGGTTTTCAGTGTCAAAAGTGGATTTGCCACCCCTAAGAAACATAAGAATAGAGGTCTACATTATGATTTTCTGATAGATACAAAGAAAGGTATAGCGAAAACTGATATCTGATACCTGGCATATGGTACCAAAAGCAAATAATGACCAGTTCAGTATATGAAAGCAACTGAGTATGTTTTAAATAGTTTCCTGAAAGGAATTTTCTTGTATTTACAAATTTAAATTTTTTTTTTTTTTTTTTTTTTTACTTATAACAAAAAGGGGAAAAGATTTAATCTTGGATATTTTTTTTGTTAGTATTTATTCAAAGTTGGGGATCAGAGACAAAATAAAAAGGTAAAATATAACAAAAAAAATAAAAAAACTTGTATTAATTTGACTGAATTTTGTGTTGTAGAGTCTCCAAATTCACTTGATATAGGTAATTTTTGAAAGAGCTTTTAAATCAAACCTGTCACTTATAATATTCATTTCCACAATATTCCAATGACTTTCCTAGAAAGAAAGAAAGATTATGATTAGCCATGTGTGAGTTTTGATTAATAGCAAGTGATTATAACTTTACAAATATTTGGAGTTAGGACAATGTTACATTAATTTTGAAATTCTGAGACTGTCTACTTTCAGACTATATATTACATATATCACTTGGAAAATGTTAAACATACCAAATGTCCCACTCTTTCTATCTTCTTTGTCTCCTCTACCACTTGTAGAGCTCCAAAATTCACTTCATACAGGTCTCTTTTCTTTTTTTTTTTTAAGTTGTCTCAACTTAAACCTACCTCTTACCTAAAAATATTCATTTGAACAAGAT